GTTGCCGGCCTCGAGAGGTGCAACCCTTTTTTCAGATAAGGAAAAAGAAACACGAGGGGGAGTGGAGGTGTGAAAAAATAAAATCTCGCACTGTGTCTTAGGTGGGACACAGTGTGAAAGTTGCAAAAAAAAAAAAGACCTCAGCCCATGAAACAGCAACATACTGATGACATCATAACACATTTATGCATGAGGAGGCCGACGAAGGCAGTGAGTTGTCCGTGGACACTGCCAGAAACTTCCATAGTCCTGATAAAGACGTCACCGGGTCTATCAGCCGGCTCAACTCCGACACAGATCCACAGGTGTCCTTGGGAAGGGAACGACAAGGCAATGGGGGGAGTGGAGCTTCTCTTTCACATAAACAACCAGGAGAAGTTTGAGAGAGCTGGCCAATTCAAGGCCGAGTGGGGAAGTCAAATTCAGATAACACCATCATTTTGGGTCAGGCAGACTCTGCTTGAATTTCCATGTCTGCCCTAATAGTTCTGCTGGTACATCTCACTGGTGATTCCAAACAGCCAAATTTTGTGGTCACACCACCGGACCAAGCTTGTAGCCTCCTCCAAGGTAGATTCCTTCTTACCAGTGAGTCCCAGGAGCTGCAAGTGGCCTACAATTGTCAGAAATTGCATCCAGCTGACAGCTCAGCTCATGCAGCGTCTGAGTCCTTACCGCTTAGTACATTCCTTCATACAAGGCAGGCAGCCTTACAATTGCCAGAACCGCTGACGCCGTCTTCTGAATTTGTTGATATGCCAGATACTGGCCAACACCAAAAAGCAGAAATCCGGTTATCATAAATTCAATTATGTACACATCTTCTACGTCCTCAATACACAATACAGACAGACACACCATCTTCCACTGGCCCCAGGAATCCATAGTATATCCAGCTGTGTATGTCTTCTCAGGGCATCAGGGCTCTCCTTTGCCCTGTCTTCTTTTCGAGAAAATTTTGTCATTTGCATTGAGACCAGCTGACCAGATCCATAATTTATAATACAGAGGATATGTAGTGAGAGGCTCCGATAGGAATCACAAGACAAAGAGCAAAGCAGGAGGGAGGCAGGAGCAGGAGGAAAAGCGTCCGTCCTCATCGAGAGCAAGCAGGGGAAAAAAAAATCGGCCTTTCAGACATTAACAGATTAAAGCTTAATAAGGATACAAGTAAATATAATCAGTGAGCTTTTGCTTGTTTGTGAGTCTAACATTCTTGTTAATTTGCTGCCATAAATTGCCCGGCAGCACGAACACCAAGTTCAGAAGTTCATATCTTGAAGAAATAAGTTTGAATATTTAAGCAAAAATAATTAAGAGCTTTAGTAACTGGAGGTCAAAGATAGAAGAGGTTCTTTAAATAGACGGGTCATATAAATTATGCAGAAACTCCTGTTCAAAGAGGTGTTTGAAATATCTTTGACTAATGGTTTGACCATCATAGCACTCTTTTTAAGGCTCAGGGAGTACTTGGCATGCTGTTCCATACAGGAGGTCTTCTCACCATGTCTTTTAGTTTGACCTCATCCTCATAAGATATGCAAAAATAAAACCAAACTATTTCACTGAACTCTATGTGTCATAATTTTAAAAACATGTTTGCATTTCAGTCATTCTGGTGACACCTGCAAATTCAATACACTGTAAGAAAAATCTGAAATAAAGTAAGAAAAGCACTACATTATTCATGCCAATTTCCTTTTCACTCATTCCTGCTGCCCAAATAGCTTGGCTGCACATACACACTTAGCATTTCAACATTTTGAATAACTATTGACCCAGTTGCATCATAATTTAACCATTTTGTTCATTTTAAAGTGCTGTTAACATGACAGCACCCATTGATCCACCAAAAGTGAAGATCTCTTGTTCCTGGACTGTGAGCTACGAGCCTGTTAATGAGCTGGATGATTGAATACTCGGCTGGAAATGAGACAGAGGTGGCAAATGAAGCCAAGAGGGCTGACTGTGGAGACAAGAGAGGGATGGGTGGGTGGTTGTGATGCGAAGGTCTAAAAATACATATTTTGCACAGGAAGGCTTCCTGCAACGCTGACAAGTCTAACGCTAAGTGACGAGGCTCCTTCCATCCTGTTTCCTGCCACTAAAAAACAAACATTCATTAATCACTTCGAGTTATCTGCATGCTGACGCTACTGGCTGTACCGTCTGACTGCAACCAATACAAGGGAAACGATGCAGTGTCATATTTCAGAACAATAAAATCACAAAAGCTCCAAGAACAAAAGGTTTAATCGTCTAATTAAAATAACATGTACCAGCTCCGTTCCCCCGCTCAACTAATTAATTTTGTCTTGTTGATGAGACTGCTCAATTAGCTTTAAAAGTCATGTTGTGCAATACTGACAGATGAACAAGTTTGTTTTCGCCACAGTTCTCAAGGCTGTACTGCAGTTGTTTGAGGTGGATATAAAGCATCAGTTCAAATAAAAAAAAGAGACTTCAGGACAAGCTGAGCTGCCATGAAATGTCAATATAATGATAAAAAAAACATTCAAACCTCATAGTCAGGCGTAAAAGGCTTTACTAGTTTAAAACATATGAAGCATTTAAAGAGTCACTAACTGATTTAGAAATTAATTCTCCACAACAAGTTCCTCTTCTGTCAGAACAACTTCGGCTGCTTTTCTCTGTCAAGAGTACAGCAAAGTTCTGAGAAACACTTCGAGTGAAAAAAGAAAAACCCACACTTTGGTTAAAATATTATAAACAAATTATTGAACATATACCAAGTACTTGTGCAATTGCTAAAACGTATAAACAAGAATTTTACCATAAATCCCTGTTTGATACAAACTACTAATTTTCCCAGTAATCTGCAGCAGCTATGCTGAAAGCTAATGCTAGCTTGGAAGCGACATAAACAGGAAGTAGAAAATCTGTTTAATTTTTTTTTCTTTCTTTAGTTTTCACTTAGACCAAAACATACAACCTAAACAGTAAAACTGATGCTAATTTGAACTCATTGATTGTTTTTAAAAAGGTTTTGAAGTTTATCGAGCATAAGTTGCTATAAAATTTAACCACTAGGGCCGCTTCTGCAGCCAAGGCAACACAATTCTTGCATTAATGTTTTCTACATTTTTATAGTGTTAAGACCTTAAAATGGTGTAACTAATATTCAAAATTTGTTCTGTTGGCTAACCTTTAGAAAAGTAAATCAAGGTTGCCAGATAGGAAATAACTAAATATTGTATAACTGTTTTAAAACGGTTGTATCGTGAGCGAGGTGCTGATTGCCACATGGCAAAAATTAAATAAACAAATCATAAACATGTTTCGAAAGTAAAGTAAAGAATTGTGGCATTATAAAAACTATACATTTTTTCTACTTCTGCAATGCGTCATCTAGCTTTGAGGCTGCAGGAACATGTGGGATTGTGGTTTGGTTGACATTTTTACAGTCGATCTTGTGCATTCACAGTGTTTTGTGACGCAGTGCAGTCCAGATAGTGCCATGCCTCCTTCTGGTTCCGTGGAGTACACTTGGTCTAAACAGTGTTCATATCTACCTGTTCTAGCTGTGCTCTTCAGTCGTTCAGACACCTGGCAACGTTACACGTTGAGGACGTTTTGCTCTCATTAAGTAAAACACCAATAAAACTCTTTAATATTTATGTTTGTATATAAAAGAAAACAAAGAACGAACCAAAAGACAAGAGTTTAATGCCGACCTTGAATACTGGAAATAGTTGTGTATTTTGGGTCGTGGCAGTAGCGATTTTAGCCTCTTTTTAGCTAAATTTTAACTCAGCACCCCTGAAAAAAAAAGTACCAGTAAAATGTGTGTGTTTTTTTTTTTTTTATTAATTAATTTGTTTAATTTTTGGAGGTGGTTCTGGGTTTGGGTTATTTATTGCATTTATGATTCAGTGCAACAAAATTAACACATTCTAAAGATAACAGATCATTTTAATACTTAGTTTATTTACACTTGCTTTAGAGGGTGGAATACAGTTTGTTCCATTTCCAAAACTGAGTCTGGAAAAATGTAAAAGATTGATAAATCCCTGCGGCTGACCTCATGAGCAGCTGAATACAACAGCTATAAACAGGAAGTACCGCATGTTCATCTGTACGAAGATAACTGCAGGTAAATCCTCAATTTTCTGTCAGAATTACTTTGTATGCTTAAATTAAAGGCTAATGCTTAAAGCTAGTTGTGCTTTGTTATGTGTGTTTTGTATGTAGATGTTGAAAACTTCTGGTTGCGTAAGTTTAGTCTTTGTTTGTTATTTAACGTTAAACTGATTTTGTACAAAGCATTTATTGGGTTGTGTAATGTAAAGCGGAGCGCTACATCTGTAGCATTTTACCTAGCGCGATTGCACGGCGCTAGCTTAGCGCTACTTCTTCTTGTGCCTTTAACACTAAAATAGTTATTGAATCAAGTGTTTACTTATGTAGGTAAATGTAAATATTTAACAACCCGTTAAAATACACCAGAATGCAGGAAATGGCATCTACTTTATTCAACACACAAAAACACACACACGCATTACGAACGCTTTTCACGCCAATGGCCAACACGTTGTTCAAACCAAGAGCCATTATCAGCACTGGGGGCTAAGCACCCCTAAAGGTCAGATTCTAGAATCGCTCCTGGGTCGTGGCGTCTGATTTTACGCATGCGCATTAGTAACTGTAAAAAGGTCAGTTCTGCTGTTATTTCTTTTTTATTCTATTTCAATTTTTGCTTAGACCAAATCAATCAAATGTAACAATTCAAACAGAAAAACTGATTCTATTTTTTTAATTTAATTTTAATATATTTTTAAGTTTTAGGCTTCTATCGAGGGCAAGTTGCTGTGTCAAATACCCACCAGTAGGGGCCGCTGCAGTGCAGGCAGCTCTTTTCTCTCGTTTTCTGCGTTTTAACCGCGTTAAGATATAAATAAAAGAAGCAACTCATATTTAAAACTTGTCCTGTTGGCTGTGTGCCCATGTCGCCCTCCCCCAGAAGAAGAACCAGACATCACCTTAGCAGCGAACGATGAGCTCGGCTTCTCCAGGAGGTCCCAGAGTTTCCTCCTCTTGTCGGAGCAGCATGTGGTCGTAAACTCCTCTCCCTCGCGCTCCCTCATGTTCTCGGCCTCTCTTTTCAGCTCCTCGTTCATCTGCTCCTTCTTCTGGTGGTACCTGGCCTGGCAGCAGGACTCCAAGTAGATCTCGTCGATCCCCCAGAAGTCCAGCTCCTGGCTGAAGGACAGGGCGCACATCTCCTCCATCATGTGCAACTTCCCGGTGCGGTAGAAGTTCAGGATGGAGGTGAAGGCGCCCGGGTGTCTGTCGAAGAAGAACTCGTTGCTGTCCAAGATGTAGTCGTCGCATATCTCCATGATGGACTCGTGGGTGTTGCAGTCCCTCAGTTTGCCCAGTCTGGTGCGGGGCAGCCGGTCCAGCGTCCTCCAGAGGACTTCGTGCAGAAGCCCCCCGACGTTGAGCCGCACCCGGCGGGTCTGGGTTTTGGCCCGGATGATGTCTAAGGTTTCCGGCGGCAGCGTGGAGGTCAACCGAGCCCCGCTCTTGCTCATGTTGGCTCAGCTCAGTCAGTCCCTTGAAACGACTGGAAGGTCCAGCAGACTAGGAGGACTCGCTCCTGGACAAGACATGGGGACCCCCCTTCGTTTCTTGCGCTTATTTAAAAAGAAAAGCAAAGAAAAGAGGGAATTAATGAAGAGCGGACACAGAGAGGTGTCCTACAGCATTAATGTTGTCAGCTGCTTTATCCTCTCATCACAGGAACAAATAGATATTTTAATCAGCTTTAAGAGGAACAGCCGCTTTTCTTGCTGACTCGGGTCGGAAGATGAAGTGGACTCTGCGCGCGCTGTCCGGTGCTGAAACGCCCCGGGTTGTCTCTCTGTCCATGGTGCTGAAGAGGTGTCCGCCCGAGTGGGACAGAGACGCTTCCCTTCCGACATGTCACGCTAGTGGACTGTGGTGAGGCTGTTCTGTTTTCCTGATGATCAAGTTTAATGAACTGTTTGGTCTCGTGAGACCATTCTGAGGGGACAGCACCGTCCCAGTCCAGAAACCAGTCGGATCAGATGTTTATTCTGGTTTAAACACACCAATAAACGGAGCCATCGGCTCTGTAAAGTTTGTTCTGGTTACGCATCGGAATTACAGCGTTGCACATGTTGGGAGACAGTTTGAATAAATGTGCAGTTCAGTTGCTGAAGCTGCCTCAGAACAGAAACATGACGCGCGTGACGGTAAGAGCACGTGAAGTTCATTGTAAAGAGATCAGTCGGATACTTACGCGTCTTCCTTATGCTCCGTTCCACCCCTTGGAGCCAGCTCAGCGTCATCTCCAGAAGAAGAGCGGTCCAACCTGGTGGGTCTGTGTCCGCAGCTCCGCGGGGAGCGGCTGGAGACATCAGGAGCCGCGCTCCGACATGACGGGAGGCGACGAGGAGGAGGGACAGGTCCAGATCCTGGAGCGAATCAACAAGTAGGCTCCTGAGTGGAGCCCGGAGCGGTGTGCAGCCTCTACCTGCTGTGTGTGTGTGTGTGTGTGTGTGTTCTCTGGTGCCTGTGAGTGAACAGGATGCTGGTTTCACTCAGGCTCCTCCAGCGGCGCAGCCTGCGTGAAGTTAACCCCATCAGAGCCGGAGAGGAGCAGCTCGGTGTGCGTGATGGAGCCCTGCTTTGGGTGGCAGAGCATCCATTTAAGATATAGTATTTAAACTATTTGTACTATACTGTCTGATAACAAAGGCTCTGGATTGGTGACCTTATCATCCATGAATGCAGCCCATGTGGCAATATTTAAAGTTTTATTTCCAGAAACCCAGACGTTCCTGTAACTCTTTAATGAGGTTTGGATCACTATAGTTCATGTGGCTTTCTGAAGGTTTTTCAATTTTTTTTTCAACTTTAGCTGTATTTAAAAAAAAAAAAAAAATTTTAATTATTATTATTTTCTGCCAGGTTTTTCAACAGCATGTCGTGCAGCGTGTGCCTACCAAATGATGAAAGTTGGTAAATGGAGGACACATGAAGAAAAGTCCAGTCTAAAAATAATCAGCAGCTGATGAACAGTATCTGAACATCCTGTTTTTGTTATCATATTTTAATATATTAAAAACTTGTGACATTGTGTGGTGCTGAATAAAACTGCACATTTCAGAGTGGCCTTTTATTGTGGGCAGCCTATAAGGCTCACCTGTGCAACAATCGCGCTGTCTAGTCAGCATCTTGATGCGCCACACCTGTGAGGTGGATGGATTATCTCAGCAAAGAAAAAGTGCTCACTAACAGATTTACACTAATTTGTGAACAATATTTGAGAGAAAAAGGCCTTTAGATTTGAGTTCAGTCCCTGAAAAATGGTAGCAAAAACAAAAGTGTTTATGTTTTTGTTCAGTGTAATATAATTTATTACCTAATCCCCTGTGAGTAACAGATCCATCACCGTTTGAACAACAGAAACCTAACGTTTCCACTCCGTTTCCCTCTGCAAACAGTTTCAGTCCAACAGATGTGAGTCCAGTTGTGTTTACAGAGCAGGCAGCTCCCTCATTACACTCAATTTGCCCATGTGACATAAAGAAAACTCGGCTTTAAAGCAGCTGTTTACCAAAAACCAAATAGTCAGCATTCATATAAAGTTGTATTTTCATCATTTCAATAATGAAGAATCCTACAACCCAAACCTAAAATGAGTTTGACAAACTGTAGACAATATAATTCACATTTATTGATAAATAGTAAAAAATAATGGCGTTTAACACTTAAATATATCATACAAAAATACAAAGAGCATATTGGTACTTATTAACAATGTTCTATATTCTGGTGAAGATTCTCAGTCATCCAGGACATGATGAATTCAAAAAGCGTTCAATACAAAAACAACTGGACTTTATTTGTAACAGAAGACGTTTCGCTCCTCATCCGAGGAGCTT